GCCATTCCTGAAGCTGAACTTCTGGGGACCTCACAGTCCTCCCGAGAGGAGAGAAAGGGCTCCTCCTCAGACACGCTGGCTCAGACTGGACAAGAAAAAGTAATTTGCCTTCTGTCCTGGGCCTCCCGTCTGGTACCTGCATCTCTTCTGGCCCTCAGAGAGACTGATGGACCTGTCCGGAGGGGTACTGAGGTGGAATGGTCATGTGGCGGGGGGACCGAGATTCCCAGGCTATGACTTTGGGCCTGCAGCAAATGGAAGGAGAAAAGCCCCATTCTGAGAAGAGGGAGAGCATTGCAAAGGGAAGGTCAGAAAACCGCTCTAGCGGCAAAGGTTGACCCCTCTCTGCCAGCTGTTACATGGTCCTCTTCAGGTCAGGGTGGATAACGCGGGACAGCAGAGCGTGGGTCATGTCTGGGACCTCGGGAGGGCAGAGATGTTCAAGGCAAACCCGGTCTTCTCAGAAGCATCTCCAAGCAATGAGGACTGATGTTGCCTAACAGAGGAGACTGTCGCTTCCTATCGAGTACCTAGTCTGTGACAGCTCATGGTTCATGGGAGGTAGAACAAGGACCCATCCACATGTTCTCCTGTCCCTCGTAGGCAAGGGGAACATGACTGTCCCATCATTTGAGAGCCAGAATGCAGTCCTGTGCCTGCTCTCCTTTCCAGCAAATATGGCGGCTCCTCATTCACATGAGGAACCACAAGTTGGAAGCTGCCTGCACCCTTGGTGCTTAGAAGAGCAGACAGCTCCTATAGCACCATGTCAGAAGTTATTTACACACACAACAGACTTTCATGACGTCAGGCTGCTCATATTTTGGGCTTGGTCTGTTGGGTCAGGTTGCAGTTACTTTAAGTAACTCATGGCTATCATTTGTATCATTAGTCTTATTTATATATTTTAATTGCAAAGATAGCAATACTTTTTTTTTCTGTTGTAAAAGAAATTTAATAGAACAGGTATAATTTCCTCCTTCCAAAGTTCCTCACCTCTTCAAAGATCACTGAGCTTAGTCTAGTATATGTTATTTTAAAGTGTATTTCAGGATATTTTTCATATATGGATGTGCTAACAAGTTATACTGGTCATAATAACATACATGGGTATGATGTTAACCTTAATTATGTCATTTTGGTTGGCTTGGAGCCACATAGCAAAGCACTCTCCTGTGTATGTGTAGGTGTCAGGCATTATGTCCCAGCAATGTGATAGCTAACTAATGCAATGGGTAATGATGCATGTATTAATCTACTGCTGCCTATGACACTTAATGGATTCAGAATCTTCCTAGGATAGCATACTGCTCTCCGGAATTCTAAAGCATCCATGTGCCACAAATAAATCATTTTCCCAGTGGACACATAAGTTATACTCCATTTGTTGTTAAAAGTAAAATTGACATTTTGTGTACAAATTCTGCAAAGCCACATCTATTCTACTAAGAAGCTAACAGCATAAACATTGAGTCAGAGTAGAAATGATGGGTATAGTTTACCTTTTTCTAAATATTGCCAATATTTCATTAAAAATGCTACACTAGTTTGTATACTGATAAAAACCACAGATGATTTTAAATTCTGAAATGTCAACAGGACATTTCTCTTTTTAATTTGAGGAGAAAAACTCTTTAAAAACTCTTTAATTTGAGGATACAGGAAAGGAAAGCATATAGGATACCTTCGTCAAGAAAGGGGTTTGGGAGGACCTCAGCGAGCGTAGTAGTCAATGTCATGAGAGACACCAATATTATCTCCTTTACCATTGCTGGTATACAATCTCACACACACAACTTAAAAGGCCTGAGGCTTAATTTACTTTGCAGTTTCAGAGGACTTACGCTTTGGTTGGTTGACTCTAAGGCAGAAAGGCATGGGGGGGAAAACTGCTTGCTCCCATGACATCGGGGAAGGACAGAGAGAAGGGAGAAGCCAGGGAGGGAGATATACTTCTAAACTCACCCCACCAGTGACACATCCCGTCTAAGTAGGCTCCCTCCTAAAATCACATTTAGGAACACGCAGATCAATGGATCAATTCACTGGTCAGTGGATCACCTCCATGACTCAATGATTTTCCCAAAGCTCTAACTTTAACCACATGACGCTTTGGGGGACATTCAAGATCTAAACCAAAACACCACCACACAAAATACTAGCTCAGAGGGCCACTGGAGAGCTGTCATTCAGAGCTTTTGATACAGAGCCAGCACACAGGGCAGCTGATAGAGACAGGAGGAGGGAGGACTATATATGAATAGAAGTGGCAAATTTGGGATACATCATCATCAGCTGGAATTGGTAATTGGGTCTGAGTAGACAAACTCACTGGCAGAATGGACCAATGTACAGCAGACACCCCACCCTCCCTGAGGGTCCCCTGTCTCTGACAGCAAGAGCAGTGCTGGTCCCTGTG